CCAGTGAACAGTGGCCCTTTCCCTGCAGCTGGTTCTCATGAGTCGCAGTGGTCCTCTTCTGTAAGGTCCTCACAGAGAGAATTGGCGAAGACTGCGCCACTGTGCCCGGAGATCCAGGGTTGCTTCCCGTGAGGTCCTCACGGAGAGAATTAGTGAGGGCTACGCCCGGAGATCCAGGGCTGGTTCCTGCGAACCTCTGACCCCATGTCTTCCTCCACTGATCAGTACATGACCTTGTTTTATGAGCATTTCTGTTTAAAGGCCCCTTAATATTCAGTTGATTCGTACCAGCAGCGCTCTAAGTCAACCTGGCCAACGCTTGTCCGATGCCTCACTTTCTCTGGGAGGCACCTCAGCCTGCCTGTGCCGAAAAGCATACACAGCACCCCAGCACTGTGCTTGGGGCCATTTTAAGTGCCAGGTCACCAACAAAAGCACAGAAATGCACAACCTGACACTAAGTGGACCATGAGAAGCACACTTGTTTGCCCAGTGAGAGCAGAGTGTCGCTGTGCTTGACCTGGGCTGGGAAAGGGGTGTCGGGGGCTCACAGTTTGGCCCCTGCACAAGGCCACAGATGCCTTCAGAAGCAGCACTAGTGTGATGCTGGAGTCACAACTAGAGTGAATAATGAGGGTTCATTCTACCGTCCAGGACAGGCCACAGTGCCGAGTCTGCGTATGACACACAGCAAGCCGAGGACCTGAGTCCTGTTGTACGTCATGACTGTTACGGCAGAGTAGTGAGCTCAGAGCAGGTGCCCAGCCACCCAGCTCCCCAGCTCCCGGGCAGGACTCCCAGCAGGAGCAGCTCGATGCTCCGCGTGGTGCTCACCTGCCACGCGGGTCGCACATGGCTGCCGTCATGCTCGTGGGCCAGCGCGTGCCCTACCGCTTGTTCAGCATTTTCACTACCCCCTGACTTAGGTCATATTTGTGCCATACAGATCTCTGCGTAAATAACTCATGCTGGTCGTAGTTTGTTGATGAGTGTTTGCTCAGCCACGTTTTCAGAGCGTGCAGAGGGTCAGACATGCGCAGAGGATAGAGAGACGTGGCTGGATGCCTGTCCTCGCCGTAACCGAGGGGCAGGCCCTCGAGGGCTGGGGGGGCAGGCGAGGGCTCTGTGCAGGGCCAGGGGTGCAGCAGGCCCTGCCCTGGGTGGATGGGCTGGGAGAGCCGCCCAGAGGAGCTCCCGCTGTAGAAGTGATAAAGGGTAAGTCTGGGCGTGTAGGAAATGGGGTGTCCCTATGACACTGGAACTGTACCCTTGTTAGTCAGGTACGGGGTGTCACTCTGGGCACATGGCAGTAGCAGTTCCTGCCAAGTCCACCCATGAGAGGCAAGAAACATGAGTAAGATGACAGATGAGAAAGTCCCGGTCACTGCAGGACCTTTTCTTACCAGCCTTTGCCTCTCCCTGTCTGTGCTGTGGTGCCCGCCTCGTAGTTATTTGCGAGGATGGGCGGGTGCCTGTGCAGCTTCTGTGTCTGGCGCTGTAGGTGCCGCACGTGGACAAGCCAGCTCTCTGCTACAGGACTGGTGGTGTCTGCCATGCACGTCAGGCCTGGATGTGGCCGAACTTCAAATGCAAATGCCTATCATTGGAGTCCACCTGTTCCCTGGAATGGTTGTCCTCAGAGCACCCTCCACAGTGGGAGAGACGTGACGTGACTGTCCTGGTCTGCAGGGGGGTTTCTGGGAAGCAAAGGGACCTCACTGAGGAGATGCACCCATGGAGGGCAGGGCCCGGCCAGAGCTGCTGCTCCTCAGCGGGCATCCTTGACTCGTAACCTGGACATTTAAATCGTGAGACAAACAAAAGGAAGTCTTCAGGTTGATGTAGATGTGGATTTAACACCGTGAACCCATGTTCCTTTCCATGGAATATATTTACATTGGAGTAAAGGGGCTCGGCAGACTTTATGGGGTGGGTCGGCCTTATCTGGACTTAGTGACCATGGTGCCTGTCTGCTTCAGTGGAGAGGTGCTCACTGGGAAGATGGGAATCGTGTTGGCTCGCTGGAGACTGATACTCCAGGCTTCTCGGGGAGCCTCCGAGACCATGTGTTTCCTTCACCGTCTGAGACCAGGGGCCATGTGTTTCCTTCACCCTCTGAGACCAGGGGCCGCGCGTTTCCTTCACCCTCTGAGACCAGGGGCCGCGCGTTTCCTTCACCCTCTGAGACCAGGGGCCGCGCGTTTCCTTCACCCTCTGAGACCAGGGGCCGCGCGTTTCCTTCACCCTCTGAGACCAGGGGCCGCGCGTTTCCTTCACCCTCTGAGACCAGGGGCCGCGCGTTTCCTTCACCCTCTGAGACCAGGGGCCGCGCGTTTCCTTCACCCTCTGAGACCAGGGGCCGCGCGTTTCCTTCACCCTCTGAGACCAGGGGCCGCGCGTTTCCTTCACCCTCTGAGACCAGGGGCCGCGCGTTTCCTTCACCCTCTGAGACCAGGGGCCGCGCGTTTCCTTCACCCTCTGAGACCAGGGGCCGCGCGTTTCCTTCACCCTCTGAGACCAGGGGCCGCGCGTTTCCTTCACCCTCTGAGACCAGGGGCCGCGCGTTTCCTTCACCCTCTGAGACCAGGGGCCGCGCGTTTCCTTCACCCTCTGAGACCAGGGGCCGCGCGTTTCCTTCACCCTCTGAGACCAGGGGCCGCGCGTTTCCTTCACCCTCTGAGACCAGGGGCCGCGCGTTTCCTTCACCCTCTGAGACCAGGGGCCGCGCGTTTCCTTCACCCTCTGAGACCAGGGGCCGCGCGTTTCCTTCACCCTCTGAGACCAGGGGCCGCGCGTTTCCTTCACCCTCTGAGACCAGGGGCCGCGCGTTTCCTTCACCCTCTGAGACCAGGGGCCGCGCGTTTCCTTCACCCTCTGAGACCAGGGGCCGCGCGTTTCCTTCACCCTCTGAGACCAGGGGCCGCGCGTTTCCTTCACCCTCTGAGACCAGGGGCCGCGCGTTTCCTTCACCCTCTGAGACCAGGGGCCGTGTGTTTTGTTCATTCGAAATCTGAATTCTGAGACCTGGCTGTCCTTAGAGGTAGAGCCTGTCCTTGGTGTTGTCCACACCAGATGTGAAGTGCGGACACACAGGAAGCATCTCTGGATGGTCGCGGGGCAGGGTGTAGGGGGCGTAGGTGGCCAGGTTGGCTTCCCCCCTCCCGAGCTGAGAGCCCAGGGAGGGGTCGCCACACCGATCGACACGGGGGGCCAGGCCCTGCCCATTCTAACCAGCGGGTTCTGCCCAGCAGAGCGCGTGCAGGGCGCCGGCCTGCCCATGGAGAGAGCCATCCTGCACGGGAAGCTGGAGCAGCACGGACAGGCGCTGCGCACCCTGGCGCTCGAGCTGAAGGACTGCCGGGCGGCCGAGGACTACTGCCTGTGGCGCTCCGAGGGCCGGGAGCCGGCCTACCGCCAGCGGCTCTTCCACACGCTGCTGGCCCTCTACCTGGACGCCGGCGCCCAGGCCCCCGAGCTGGCCGTGGCCGCCGTGGACCTCCTGAACCGCCACGCCGCCGAGTTCGACGCCGCCCAGGTTCTGCCGCTGCTGCCGGGCGCCTGGTCGGTGCAGCTGCTCTGCCCGTTCCTGGCGGGGGCCGTGCGGGGCAGCGTCCACGCCAGGAGGACCGCCCAGGTGGCGCTCGGCCTGGCCAAGTCGGAGAACTTCATCTACAAGTGCGAAAAGGTGAGAGCCGGGCCGGCTTCCTGACCAGCTGATGTTTCGTTTAATGTAGGTTTGCCCCGTGGAGAACATTCTCGGTCCGTGTTTTCCTCTACGACATCACACGTCAAATACGTGATTCCGCTCAGAGCCGCGCCTGTGCGCAGAGCAGAAGCCGGGGCGGGCCTGACGCTGGTGCGTTTTTTTCTCCCCTTTTCAACGCTGATGGTCAAGAGAGTATGTGCACACTGTGTGTCAGGCAGGCCTCCAGGCTTCGCATCATGGCATCGCTTCATCACCGCCACGTTCGTATGCGGTATTTACTATTATTATCTCCATGTCACAGAAGAGGAAAACTGAGGCACAGAGAAGTCGGAGTAAATGGAAGAGCCCAGGCATGCCTTCCAGGCCCTCCGAGCTCCATGTTCCTGGTCCCTGTGTTACTCAGCTCGGGCTGCTCTGACTCCACCACCTCAGGGGTTAAACAGCAGACATTTGCTTCTCACAGTTACAGAGGCTAGGAGGCTAAGACCAAGTAGCCGGCAGGTTCCATGCTCGGCGTGGACTCTTCCGGGCCCCCTTCTCCCTGTGTCTTCGCCCAGCAGAGAACAAGCTCTGGTCTCTCTCCCTCTTCTTATAATGGCCCTAACCCCATCATGGGGGCCTACTAATGACCTCATCTGACCGTAAGCACCTGCCAGAGGCCCCTCCTCCAAATACGATTTCGTTAGGATTAGGCCTCCACCGTATGAATTTGGGGGGCACACAAACATCAGTCCGTAACAGCACCCAACTTTTCTCCCTCGGGAAACCCCTCTGTGAGGTCTGTACTCCACACGGCGGGCAGAGCGGTCTTTCCAGAGCAGGAGTCCTCCTGTCCCCCCACTTGGAAGCCTTCATTGACTCCCCAGTGGAGAGATCGACGCCTGGAAGGTTCCATCTCACCTTTTAGGCCCGTCCCTGTCGGTTTCTCACTGCTGGCCAGGACGTGTGGCACCTCCGTGTGTGACATGCTGTCCACACGTATGGCCTTTGTTCCTGCCGTTCTCCCTGCCAGAGGTGTTCTTACCTGTCCCTGTTGTGCCTGGTGAATGCCCGCTGGAAACCCAGCCAAGCATTTTTCCTTGTGGAACCTTCACACCCCCTAAGCAGGTTAACCACCTTTGAGCACACACACACACACACACACACACACGCACGCACACGTAGTTGCCTCCCTTTACTGTAGACTCTGGGTTCCTTGAGAGCAGGAAACATCATTCACTAATCTCAGTGTTCCTAGGGCCACGCCTGGCATCCTGAACGCGTTGAGTAAATGTCAAATGACCAATGAGGCTAATGTGTCCAAGGTGAACTCACCAAGTTGTGCTCAGTCCCTCCAATAGGCTGACATGCCTGGGCCACCCGTGAATTGTGCAGAAAGGCTGTTAACTTGGGAAACTTAAGTCCTACTTCCCAGACAGGAGTGATGGAGCACAGCTCAGGTTTGCTAGTACCTTAAAGAGATGAAGTGGGTCCTAGGATCAGTCGGGAATGTGCATAACCAGCCCTGTGGCTTTGACCAGGTGCCCTGTTTGCGCCTTACTCTGCTCGCTTACTGGTGGGAGGCCCAGGGAGGTGGAGGATTGGTGTGGCCTTGTCCAGCCCTAACAGCGCAGGGCATTGAGGGGGCCTCGCTGACACAGCCGAGCTCATGGAGCATCTGAAGGGCCACCTTGGAGGAAATGCCTCAGCCAGACCAGCAGCAATGACGTTTGTAAAATAAAGCATTCCGAGGAGGCTCTTTTTACTTCTCCAGTTTGTTTATTTTCTAAGGTTGTTTGTTTATTTTCACTTCTAATACTCTGTTGATATTAAAGCAACACTCATCAGTAACAGTGATCCACAGGGTAACACAAGTCAGCTCTGAGAAACAGCCTAACAGCATCTGAGAGTCCTGTCTTTCTTTCTTTTCTCAGATAAAGCTGAAAGGAAGCTCAGTTCGGCTCTCAGACAAACAGCTATGCCAGATGTGCCACAGTCCCTTCTGCGAGCCTGTGTTTGTCAGATACCCAAACGGTGGCCTCGTCCATACCCACTGTGCTGCCAGCAGACACACGAACCCCAGCTCCCCCAGCCCCGGCGCTCGGACTTGAAGGGGCCGCCGGGGGCGCCAGGGGGACTGTGAGCCCTTCACGCACCAAGCCTGCCGGATGCAAGGAGCAGAAGGCCATGGCTCCCTGCAAGCCAGGACGGGTGACATCTGGGTGCCCAGGAGACTCAGTCATTGTGAAGCAAGGACTCTTCCCTGCTGACCAGTTGGCATTGAATGTAAATGGAAAACCCAAAAAGAGAGCCATGCAAGAGCTTGCCTGCCCAGACACATGGTCATCCAGAGCAGATGTCCACCTGGACAGAAAAGTGAGCCTTCCCAGTGCACTACACACAAACGCCCCCCCTCCCCCATCTTCAGGGACACACTTGCACTGGAACATTTGCTTCCCGGTGGCATGCAGGTAACCCCTTTCTGGCCAGGGAAGTGGCCAGGGCCGAGTCCTGTGCTGGCACGTGCTCCTTCCACGGCACGGACACTGGGGTCCCATCTGTTTCCTGAAGGACCTCGTGGGCTCTACTTGTGCCCTTGGCATTGGCTGACCTTAGAGACGTGTTTCCTCTCCTTCCTGCTTCCCCTCTGGCTCTCAGCCCCTGAGAGAGTCCACTTTGCTCACCCAGGCACTCCCTTTGCTGCCCAGCAAGTGGCTGTCCCAAACCGATGGAGCTTGAGAGAGAAACTGCCTGCCCGTCTGGGAGGCGCAATGGAGACGGAGCCCGTGGGGTTAAGACCAGGCGAGTGCCCCTCACGGTCGTCATCTGCTGGTCTGAAGCTCCATGTCAACGTCCTCGACTAAACATTTTTATTTGAAGTAATATCATCTTTGTAGAATTTCACTTGTGTAGAAAATCATCTGTCATATATGTTAGGGATGTTTTTTCTTGTTAAAATGTACCTCCTATTGAATACTCTGGAAATTAAAAGGGAAATGTTACGAGCACAAACCACACGTATTTTCAGGAGAAGCCGGCTTTACCCTTGCACTCTCAGCAGGGCAGGCACTAGGTGGCAGCCGCCTCTGCTCGTGGTGAGGTGTCACCTTTCCTGCAGGTAATGCCGCACACCCTTTCGAGGAAGTCTGGCCGGCTGCCTTACCTCCCAGCACTTTAAAATGCCTGCTCTGAGGTCTCCAGAGCACCCAGGAAAATGCCTGTCATTCTTCAGACGTCAGATTCGCTCTGTGGTTGCTGGACGTCATGGAGAGGCTGAAGCTGCTGTTACTGCACTGCCCCCTTTCGCATTTCTCCATTTCGATGATTGATTCTGTTAGGAACTAACAATAAAGACAGTGTGCCTGGCATAACCCTTGGAAACAAGCATCAGCTCCCTGTGTGAGCAGAGGGCCCTGGAACCGCCCTCCGCTCAGCCTCGGCCTCGTGGAGGGGACCAAGCACTCGCTCGAGTCGTTAAGAATGCTTTCTGTGCTAGGAACGGTCAGCGTTCCTTTCCTTTGTGATCCCCACTGGGCCAAGAACACAGAGGCAGCCGCGCATCTTTCCTGTGTCTCAAGAATAGATGGAGAAGTCCTCCCTGTAATTCAGCCACGGGCCGCGCCAGCCGGTGTGGGTGCGAAGCCCAGCCGTGCGTTTCACCTGCGGTGAGTGTTGCAGAATCACCGTTTCTGTGCGTGTTATCATTCAGCCTGTGAGCTTGGATTCACCTTCCGAGAACAGGCGACTAGCCCGTGCAGTATGCACTTTGAAAAGCACTGTTTCTCTCCTCAGAATGGGCAAAACCTTGAAAAAGCCTTGTGCTTGCTCATCCCTAACTTGGGGGCTCTAGTCTCTTTTTCCTCTGAACATTGATCAACACTTGGAAATGTTTGTTTTCGTTTAGAATAATGGGAGTTAAAGGTGAACAGTTTTTCTGTCTCCGGAATCCTCTTAAGACAGCAGAATTCTATGACACTGTGCAGAATTACCTCCCGCGTTCAAAACCTTTCAAAAGGTTTCCTAACCCTCCTCGAAATCCCACAGGCTCCTTTCCCAAATCGTATTTTGAAGAGGAACAGATGGTTCTTTCTGCAAGCCTGCTGTTTTGTGGCTGTGCTGTGGACGAGAGCAGTTAGGACCATGGCTCGGCCTTTCCCGTCGTCAGGTTCGGTGTAGCCGTTCTGGTTAAAACAGCGTGAACTGAACTCAGTTGTCATCACTGTTCTATGGCAAGACTATTTAATTTTATGAACTGTTTATCTGCTGTTCCAATCAGGTATTAACAGGAGGTGCCGTGTAGGCTGTGGCTGAGCTCAGGCCGGAAGGCCCTGCTTGGGGAGTGGCCCTGGGCCGTAGGTAGGGCTGACATCTGTCACACGGCCGGGGCGGCTCTTGCTTTTTAATCACTCTCCTATGGAAGCTGTCATCCTTGCAACTCTGTCCTCTGGCCCTGGTTGGGTCCCAAATACAGAAGATGTACAAATGTAAACTTGTTGATTTTATTAAAATTCTTTTAATTCTTTGTTCTTTCTGTAGTTTTGTGTGTTGTTTTTTAATAAAAATCATCTTGATAAAGTGATGGTTTCCACTCGCCCGTACCCAGCCTACAGAGCTCCAGAGCTCACTCCTCTGCCTGCTGGCTCCTCCCAGCGCTGACAGGTTCCCATGGCCACCCCTTATAGTTTTTGTTATTACTTTTCCATTTATTTCCTGTACATGTCAACATGCTGTTTGACGTACGTTGCCTTCAGGTAAATTTTGCCCTGAGGGGTGGAGGTTTCTGGTTACTTCCCCTCTTAGCCAAACACCCTTAAATGAGCCTGCTTCCCTTGCATTTCTCATCCTCAGTATAGTCAGAGAAGGTGACCTTTATAAAATCTCCTCTTTTAATGTGAACTTGCCCTCAGCCGTGTTCACAGCAGGTCTGTGGGGAGCTCTGGGCCCGACTCCCCAGCACTTTCCCGCTCGTTCTTTGGCTCCCGGTCCCGGGCTCGCCCTGGGGAGCAGGGAGCTAACAAGCTGACAGCCCGACTTCTAACTGTTCTGCAGGCTGTGTGGGCTGGTAGATTCCAAGTACGCACAGGTGATGGTGAGGCTGTGGCGCACGAGTCACCTGTGTTTCAGGTTGAAGAAACCAAGGCACAGGTTGTTGGGTGATTGTCTTGAGGTCTGAGTCACACCAAGGCAGAGCCCCAGTCCCCACGGTCAGGTTTCCCTGCCTGCTGCTTCACCGGCCATGAACAGAAGCGCAAACCAGAAACCAACCAAGGGTCGCCTGTTCACGCAGAAAATCATGAAGCAGGAAGCTTGCTGCTCTTTTCACATTTCTGTATCATCGGTATTGGGTGGTTCATTTGCATCTTAGAGATGAAAGGGGGCGCTTAGGCTGGCACACCTGTCCGAGTGGCGGAGTGAGTGAACCCATGTCCTGTGTACGTCTTTCTGGAAAGAAAGACACGTCTGGCTCGGTTAAATGAGCCGTGGCCGTGTTAGGAATAATTAGATACCAACTGACACCCCATTTGCTCTTAGATCTGTCAAGCTTACTATTGAAATGAAAATGTACAAGAATCTAGACCATATAGACGAGAGGCCCTTTTTCCTTCTCTGAAAAGCTAAATGGCTGGCACCCATCTAAACGCTTGTTAGTACCGTGCTCGGAGATAAGCACTGGAATTAGTGAAGCCTGCTTCCTGCAGCTGCAGCTGGAGAGGCGAGCAAAGAGCTGTGGCTCAGTCTGCAGTCCAGAGTGTAAATTAGTTAAATGAGATGCGTGGCGAGAAAGGATTAAAAAGCAACACGACTCTACGGGCCAGGTGTGACTTGAGAAGTAAATGTTTTCACGAGGTGTCAGGAAACCTGGGTCTCTGGGCTCCAACACACCCAACTGTGGTCCTGGGCAAGGGACAGCCTCTAGACTCTGTGGTGCCATCCATAGGCTAGAGGTAGAGCGGGATGGTGTCTGAGGACCCTCTAGGTGTCAACTCTCTGCCTCAAGCAAAGAAAGGGCAAGTAGTGGGGATGGCCAGCCTTTGACACCATACACTGCCCTCACAGGGTCTTGCGGCCCTCGGGGCAGCATCCAGCTGGAACCCTGCTGCAGTGTACTCAGGGGTGCATCTGAGCTCCCAGAGTCTCAACCTCCAGAGTCATAACCGCCAGAGTCTCAGCCCCTGGAGTCCCAACCCCTGAGTCTCGACTCCTGGAGTCTCAGTCTCACTGAGCTGTCGGTCACTAGGAAGGTGCCTCTGCAGCCTACAGCCATCTGCTCCAGAGCTGCGTCTGCAGCTGGGAGAGGAGTTGGTCTCTAGGAGCCCTTTTCTAGAGCTGTTTCCAGATGCCCCTTTCCTCCAGTGTGTTCCAGTCTTGGCTGTAAGAATCCCTTTGCCTTTTCTCACGGCTCCCACACTGTCACCGTTACGGTCATCTTTCTCTAGAGAACATTTTCTGTTCATTTCACTGGAAATACTGTTTTTGCCCTTTCGATTCCATCTGTGTCGGACTGAGCAAGGGAGGCAGATTCCCAGCGTGAGCCCTGACCGCAGAGCACGCTGCACAGAGCTGCTGTGGGACGCCGGCCTCCAGCCCCTGCCCGCCTTGTTGCCACGTGTTCGGGACTGAGCTAGAGCAACGGTGCGCACAGCGGGGCTGGGGTGCTCAGTCCACCCCTCTGCAGTCAGCAGTGACAGTGAGCCCCCCAAACCTGTTTCTAATTTGCTGTTCAGTACATTGCTGACTTACAGACAACTGTGACTTCAGCTCATAAATAAATAAAACCTAGATACTAAGCTTCTGCTTTCTTGAGAATTAAAGAGCATTTCCTCGGTGTGGTTTGCACAGCTAAAGGCATTTGATTTCTTTTATTTCAGTTAATTTACAAGAATGTATTCAGTTTATAGGAGTAAACATGGTCAGGAATTCAGTTTTCTGTCTAAAAAAAAGATTATGATAGTACTAATATGGCTGTATTTAAATACATTTTCTGTGAATGTTAGTCTGCTTGCCACTTTTATGGTCTTGTAAAGTTGTGTTAAAATTTACATAACAAACGTACCATTTTTCTCATTTTTCTGTGCCCAGTTCAGTGGCATTAAGTACATTCACAGGGGTGTGTAACCATCACCACCATCTATTCCCTGGACTTTCTCATGTTCCCAAACTAAAGCTCCAACCCCGTTCAACATTCCCTCCTCCTCCTGCCCCTAGCAACTTCCGTTCTACATTCTGTCCCAGAATTTGATGATTCTAGGGACCTCAGATGAGTGGAATCATACAGTGTCTGTCCTTCTGTGACTGGCTTATTTCACTGAGCAGAATGTCCTCAAAATTCACCCATGTTGTAGCAGGTGTCAGCGTTTCCTTCCTTTTAAAGACTGAATAATACTCCACTCCATGGTTTTTAAAATAGTGTATTTAGTTACCCAAAGTTTGTACACATAGACTATTTGCTTTTGTGTTTTATGTAAAATTACGTTGCTATTTTATCAACGTGTAAAATGCAACCCTACATCAGCCATCTGGAAGTCATCCATTTATTGTGCTAACCCCTTCCCTTCGGTTAAAACAGAGCAACAAGCAAAGCTCACGTTGGTCCAATGCAGGCCCTTAAAGTGGGTTCAGAACCAGCACCAGGTCTTTGTGGACCAGGAAGGGCACAGAGACCTCCCCATCCTGACGGGACAGCCGTGCACCTGCAAGATCTGCGGGAAGCTGATTGAGAACCAAGGGCCGGACCAACTCCTAACGGAGCAGTGCCCAGAGCGAGCGACTCAGCAGCCGGGCATGCTGCCCGCAGGCCCCCACACAAGATGTGCATGTTTTCTGTCGTTCTTACTCCCTGCCCCCGCAAACCTCTGTGACAGCCTTCAGGCAGCGAAGGAGCAATGCCCAGCCCCTGACCCTGGGCAGGGCCTGCCTGGAGGGGGCTCCAATTATGGCTCCAGCTCCAACCTTGAGTAAGTCACGAAAAGACATTCAGGGGTGCGGACAATCTGATGAAGCCAGACGCCAGGCGGGAAGGGACATTCCCTTCCCTTTTCTGGGACAGCAAGAAAGCGACTGGGCAGGCGGCGTCCGGACCTCGTGTGTGCGTGTGGGTGGGGCGTGGTGAGGGCTGGTGCCACCACTTCTTCCAAACACGTGAGTTGGAAAGGGCACTGCAGAAAGGACCAGCCTGCTTCCTCGGCCGGCTCCGTCCGCTGCTGTGAGCGGTCGTGTTCCCGCACTGCATTGCGGAGCCTGCGTTCTGGGCAATCCCGGCAAAGGCTGTCCCACTGCAGGTGGGAGGCTGGCTGTCCTGGCACACTGAACGCACGAGCGCCCGCACCCCATCTTCACTGCTGCTCTGGGAACTGATCCACCCCGCTGAACACTGGAGATGTGCGGGGCTGTGCCCATTTCCTGGTGCTCACTTTGCACCCGCTGGTGTAATTTTCAGAAAGCTTTTGTTGACACAAATACCAGAAAAGGAGCTGTTCCCTAACAGCCGACGGAGGCCAGCCATTCCCCACCTGCCCTGGCCGGGAAGACAAAGGCTCTCTCCCATGGGAGCTGTCTGGGCTGTCGTCCGTGGGAGTGGCCACATCCCCTCCTGGTCACAGCCGCAGTGCCTTACTCCAAGTTCACTATCATGTTCCTGCAACTGCGGAAACGGGACTGACCTTGCCGCAGAGGGCGGTAGCTGAGGGGCTCGACGCATGTTACCAAGAGCTGTATCTAACGCTAAGGGGGCAGTTTTCCTTTTCCATCCATGTATTCATTTACTCATATAGTCAATCCATTCATTCATTCACTCATTCATTCATTCCACAAGTGCATGTTGGGAGGCTGCTGTGTGCCAAGTATGCGAAATTCCAAGGACAAACTGGTGAAGAAGACGCTTTTGGCCCTGGCTCTGCTGGAGCTCACCATGGAGAAAGTCACAATTCATTGGGCGCATGCCAAGAGGAGGCACTGACGGTAGACCAGAAGCCCAGAGGAGGACCCGCAAGGAAAGTGCTCCAGAAGAGGAGACGGTGGGGCGACGCCTGGAGGTGAGCGGAATTGTGGCCCCTTTGAAATGCAGAGAAAGGTCCCGCTTGACTGCAGGCCAGACCGTAAGCAGGGTGCCAGGCGAGGCTGGAGGCTGAGGCTTCTTCCTGGGCCTCTGCAGAGGTGACACAGAGTTTGCACTATAGAACCACCGGTCCCACCACCCGGGCAACCTCTGCCAGCATTTCTGTCCAGTAGTTTGCCCATTTATCTTAGTGTTCCATAGTTTTGAATGACATGGGAAAGGACTCCCCCCACACCCCCAACCACCACCACCAAAAAGGCAGAATATAAAACGTTTTAGCCAGGAAAATCCTTTGTTTTAAAATATAGCATATTCACAGAAAATTTGAGGTATGGTAAGGCCGACAGATCAGGAGACAATTGCCAATGAAAAGGTAATTTTTATACTCACAGCTCCCAGAGATCCTCACCAAGGACTCGACACACCGCTCCACGGGGGCCACATGAGGGGGCACCAGGGTCATTTGGGCAGAGGGAGGAGGGGAACTGAGGGCAATAGCCACTATTGTGGTTTGCAGGGAAGAAGGGGGTGAGGCAAGTAAGCAGGCTCAGCACGGTCCAGCGGGCTCCAGGGCGTAGGTTCCATCCCTGGTTGTCTAGTAGAACAGGCGCTGGGTGCTGAGGGCAGGTGGATGGAGTGCGGAGGTGGGCCGGCAGGTAAGGTGTTTGCTGTCTCTAGGAATTAGCCAGGAGGCCATCCCACCAGGTCAGCAGGGCCCCAGATGTTGAAGCATCAGATAGAAGTAACGATACGGTTAACACGTCCTTTTGATTAAGCCACAGTCGTGTTCTACTCTGCTTCCCATGACTGAGGACTGAACATAGAACATCTAATATACTTCTAACAGGAGGTAAGAGAGGTGGTCTCAGAGTAAGTGGCACAAAGTGGGAAACGGAGGCAGTCCGCAACCCTTCCTGGGCCCCGACTGCCGGCCAGTAGACTCCTCCGTGTTCAGTTTCTTGAATTTGGCGGACTCAAGTTTGCATGGAGTTGCCAGGAACAACCCTTTCAGCCTAAATCGGTCCCTGAAGAGGTATAAAATACCTTTAATAGTTTGTGTTTTATGCTTTTCTATATATAATTAGTTGAATATATATGAATTGACCTTAGCCTACGCAAGACTGCAGAGCCCTTGACTACTGTCTCCTCGGTCACGGGGCTGTGTGTTTCCTGTCCCTGGCACCTCCACGCTCCAGTTCACAAGCCAGCTGTGGCCCCAGGGTCTTGGCCCAGCCCTTTGGTGGAGGGCCTGCTGGTGGCTGATGGGAAATGTCCCCTGACCTACCTTAAGAGTTCCCGTTCTCAGTAATTCTCAAGCACAGCTGATTAGACGATAAACCTCTGGGAACTTTCTGAAAAAGCAACTTTGTTATGGCATCAAAGCCAGGACTGCCCTTTCAGAAGTTTATTTCAGGAGAACGTTCAGCAGCTGTGCAGAAAGATTCACATCAAGGACGCTCACTGCAGCACTTAAAAAATGGTTAAAAAAAGGAAAACGGAGAGCCTGCGTCACTTACCTTGGGCACCGCCAGGCAATGGGGACCTCCAGCCATTAGAAACGGCTTCAAAACACAAACAGACAACAACCCATTGAAAATAGGAGATAAAGTTGTGGTAGAGTATGATCTGAATTTTTAAAGGAAAAGATACAATTTTTGTATGTAATAAAAAAAACACACTAGACAATCTTTAATTTTTCTTTATGCTTCTGAGCGAAAAACACACACCTCCGATAAGTGCATTAGTTGTTTTCATTTCAGCAAGGAGCAAATTACCTCTATAATTAAAAAGTCAATCAACAGATACATTTTTTAAGCTTTTCCTAAGTCTAGGGAACATTTATTCGTAAGGATGGAAGTATGCCCTTCCTGCACGGATTCTAAACCCAGGCTTCACCGCGTAGTGTCAGCTCGCTCCTGGCTAGGAGCGCAACCGTATCTGCTCGCTGACTGCATTGCCTGGGAAGGAAAGAGCCAGGGCCCTGGGTACGGAGACAGCAGACAGAAGAGGGTCTGCGTGTTCACACGAAGACACAGCGGAGGTTTAGACTCTGTAAGTGAAAACCCTCGGGCACCATTACTGAGCACAGTGTGGGAGGCCGCCAGGGGGGCCCATCTGGGCTGGGCTGAGAGATTCCCGTAAGTGCCCCCGACCACCTGTGCTGGTTGTAAGTGGGGGCCTTTCAGCAGCACAGGGCTTCCCTCGAGGGGGAGACACTTCCTGAGCAGCCTGGGCTGACTGCTCCCCAAGAGGCCCAGCACATCCAGAGAAAACGGCAGCCGAGGGGGAGAAAGAGCCTCCCATATCCATATTTCTCCCTCACCTCTGGGCATGCTGTGAAAGCAAAGTAAGCTTTCCGTTTTCCTCTGAACATCTAACAAATTATTCAACCTTGTTTGTCTTTCACGGTGAGGCTAGTGACCCTCTTTTCATGGTTTAGTAAAATATTCGAAATCTTCCTGATACCACAAAATATCGTAATGAGGGAATNTGGTTTAATAAAATATTCGAAATCTTCCTGATACCACAAAATATCGTAATGAGGGAATGTGGTGGCAGCGTTTCAATGCGGGAGGAAATGAGAAACAGGGTCCCCAAAAGGACACCTGTCTTTGAAAAAGGTTTCCAAAAGTGAGCTTGGCTAATTTTTTTCCAACTGGACTCGCTGGCACAGGGCCAGCAGATGCCAGTGGCTCAGGAGCGCTTGAGGCGATGGATGTGTGGATGTGGCGCCTTGGGGAACTTTAGGAACTTAAACCTGAACACCCCAGGAGGCTGGACTTGCACATCAGGGCCCTCAGGTTCCTGGCTGCTGAAGGTAAAGTCCTGGTCACGTCTGTTTCTCATACCGATGAGTTCTTTATGTTCCTATCAGACTAGGACAAATCTGCGCAGCCGTCCTGTTTCCCTCTGAACCAAGCATTCTCTGGACCCTCTCCTCTCCCTAGAACACTGTGGCCCCTGTTTCTCCAAGATGAAGGGCCAGAGAGCAGGAGATGGACTGGAACTGCCTACAACTGGAACTATCTGTTAAAGTAACCTCGCAGCCTGCCCCAAACCACACACACACACACACCCCTCCTAGCTAGGATGGGAAGCCCTCCCTTTCCTTGAATAATTAAATCACCAAGGCCTGGCCTGTGCCCCGCCCACACTCCGTGGGGTCTTTTCTGTCACTGGCAACTAGCCTCCACCTTTCAAGAGGCAAAGCTTTGAAATTATACTGTTCCCTTTGACAATCAAGTTCTTAGGCAAAGGTAGTCTCAATCACTGTTGATTTTGTTTTAAATCTGCAGCTGCAAATTTTCAGTTTAGCTTTCCTGTCTCACATCTTCTGTGCCTAAAAGGTTAAGTGTGGCCCTGGCTGGTTTGGCTCAGTGGTTAGAGCGTCGGCTTGCAGACTGAAGGGTCCCGGGTCCGATTCCAGTCAAGGGCATGTACCTCGGTCGCAGGCTCAGTCCCCAACTGGGGCAAGGGCGGGAGGCAACCAATCAACGTGTCTCTCTCACATCGCTGTTTCTCTCTCTCTCCCCCTTCCACAAAGCAATGGAAAAAATATCCTTGGGGTGAGGATTACAAGTAAGTAAATAAATAAATCAATAAGAGGGTAAGCATGGTGACTCACCTCCGTGGCACAGGCTTAAGTGTTTGCAGTCTCTGTGTCTGGGAGCAAGTCCCTGTCTGTGGGGGCTGGAGGTGAAGAGAGAGGCAGACTTGTGGGGTCACCGTGACAGAGGTGTGCTTATTTTACAACGAGGACAGGGTCATTGATGAGATTTGTACTTTGGATTTAAGAATTCATATGCATGCTAGGATCTCTTGTTTTTCAAAAATCGTGCCATGTCTGGCAGAGACTGCTGGGGACGCACCCTTCCATGCTAAGAAAGCCATAGCTGGGCACTGGCTGCCTCACTGCGCAGGTCACCTCCCAGCCCCTGTGCAGCTGTGGCCCTGGGACTCAGTCTCGGCAGGGGAGCCCAGGCGAGTGTGGGGGTCTCACCCTCCGTCCCTCCACACCCCTTCCTCTCTCGGGAGCCAGAACACAGACCCGGCTGCAGCGGGGACTCACACAAACACGAGGACGCTGCCTCGGAGGACAGCGGGAAGCTGGACGGCAGGGGAGCCCCGAACCACCTCCTGAGCGGAGAGCCCGCTCGAGTGCCCTGACTTTAATGAGAGGGAAACAAGGTGACTTTTTAAAAGCTGCTTCCAAGGAGGGCGTCTGCTCCTCCCTCCTGCCCCCTACATGCCCAGCGACACTGCTCAGCTCTCTGCAGACCTCAGAGCCCCTCAGAGCAGCGGCTGATGTGCTCTCAGGGCTCCTTTCCCGCCCTGGAATGGGTCACCCCACCCATCCATCCTATTCCCCAGTGAGGACAACTTACAGTCCAGGGGTGGTTTGAATGCGGACAAGTGCTGCAGCCCAGGCCACCGGGGATTTCGCTCCTTAACCCATGTTCCTGGCTCCTGTGGACGTTGAGTTCTTATCAGCTGAACCCTGAAATCTTAGGACCACATGAGGACAGGGAAAGGGACTGAACAGCCAGTTTCTGAAACAAATTGCTACCCATGCCACCAAAGGACAAAGGTTGGCCAAAGCAAGTAGGCAGCACTACTGGAGTAGTTATTGCACCGTATGGGCGGCCTCTGCTGGGGCCGGGCAGGGGCTGGATCCTTTATGTGCATTATTTCATTGAGCCCTCTGGGTAGAGGTATTTATACCACTTAGGAGAGGAGGAAGCTGGGGCACAAAGTCACTTGCCTGGAATCACGCAGAGACCAGGTGGCCCTGGGTTTGGGGAGCACATGCCCTTTGGCTCCATCACCCATGCATTTCCTCAGAGCAAAATCTGGGTCCTGGGACTCAAGACCTCTGGGGCTTTGGGTGTCAGGGCTGCCGACTTCATGAGCAACATTGTCAATACTTAACTAGCAGGTTTTTAGTCCAAAGGTGCTATATAGGGGAAAGCACACCCAGGGCTCAGAATAGCAAAATAGGGATTGATCTAGGTTTTTGTCATGTATCTGGGTTGTCCGAACGTCCTAGAGAACTTTTGCTTTTATTTCACCCCAAAAGCAGGGACCAAGATTCAAGGCAAACAGGAAGTGGATTTTCAGGGGAGTCAGAATTGGGATGACACTTTTGAGACTTATTTGTGTCTCATTTNAATTGATCTAGGTTTTCGTCATGTATCTGGGTTGTCCGAACGTCCTAGAGAGCTTTTGCTTTTATTTCACCCCAAAAGCAGGGACCAAGATGCAAGACACACAGGCAGTGGATTTTCAGGGGGAGTCAGAATTGGGATGACACTTTTGAGACTTATTTGTGTCTCATTTTCAGAGGCTAGGCTCTCCCAGGGAACCGGGGGCCACCTCCTGCATAGTTATCACCGAAGTCAACTCCCAAGGCCCCACAAAACAATCCAGGTGCCCAGGGCTAAAGAAGTGAGAAAAACAAAAACCACAGGAGCAGCCCGTTGCTCTGCAAGCCTCGCGGAAGACAAGAAGTCAGTGTTCCTGCAATATCTTAGGGAAGGAGAGTTTGTTAGCGGTTCTGCAAGGCCAGAGAGGCTTCCAAAGGTGACTCACTGGGCATCAGAGGTGAAGGGAGACTCAGGCAAGGGTTACTCAGCAGGGCCACGATTTAAAACCTGGTGGGTGCCCCACTACTGACCCCATCACTCAGACAGCCTCCGGGGTGTCATCTAGTCCTTAGTGTCCTTCCTGAGTCACCCCAGCTTGCTGAGTAACTGCCAGGTTCTAGGTTTCCCGAAGTCGCTGTGTCCTAGGAGACGCTGGGCTCCAGCTTTGGGGCTTACTATTCACTGCCTGTGCTGCTTATGGCAAGTGCATAGACTTATTCACAGAAAGAGCAGTAACGCTTTATTTAAAATATGTACAAAATTATTACTTTGAAACATATATTACTTTCAACATACATCACATAACACTGATGTAAATTTTGGTGCCTCTGTTCATTTGGTCTTGATTTCTTTTACCCAAGGCTCTGGAGGAACATTTTCTTAAATGCACACTGGAGGGGAGGTGCCCGCTGGCCTGGTCCCCTCGGCGGCTGGCTGTGCTCTGGGCCACTACTAAGGCTGTGGGACACCTCGTGGGAGCCGAAGGCAAACCCTGACCCTGCGGGGGCACTCGGGACACAGAATTGAGGGCCCCTCTCCATCGATCATACACCATTTGCCCATCTTTTCTCTCTGCCTCTGGGCATAAAAGGAGGGTAACGTCAGTGAGAGACGGTATCAGTATTTTCTCAACAAAGCCTGCTCGGAGATATTACGTTCTCTGTGGTTCCTGTTCTCTCCTGCCTCTGTCTCCCGAACCACAGGAAGCGAGTGTGACAACGGGGAGCTGGCCTCTTGGTACAGCCTTGGAAAGGAGGGGAGAAGAGAAATGAAAAGGGAACGTCTGTGTTTTCAGGCTGAATTTGAGTTACTATTATCGTGAGATAAACTAGACAACAGCTTTGGGCACAGCACAGCCCGAGCCTCGTCATCACTTCCTCCCACAGTGTCTTGCACTAGCAGGCACTTGATAGAGGCTCATGGGAGGAGAGATAAATGGATTCAGAGGAGCTGGTGCCCAGGAGCAGACAGCATATGCATTTTAGAATCAGAGTGTTTGTTGGAAGGGGAAAGGGACATGGGAGATCATCTAGACTTGTCTCCTCACTTGGTAAATGGGAAAACTGAGGCCCAGAGGAGTTAGATGAAATGAACAAGGCCATACACTAGTTCCCGTTTAGAGTTAGACTTGGAATCAGATTTTCTGAATGTCTCCTTACATTTTCCACTCTCTTCAGATCTGAAACTGTCAGAAGAGCTTCACAGACTTAGTGGTGTGCCTCAAACCCAGGAAAACTGGCCCCACGTCAGAAGCTCCGGTGGTAAGGGGTGACCCTTGGCAGCCGTGGGCACCAGTGCAAACAGAAAAGCTCCCTCTAGGCAGCTGCACTCCCAGGATCCCAGTCCTGCCTGGGCTCGGAGGCCAAGGCCCTGGGTAGGCGGCCCAGAGCACAGCATCAGAATGAGGTAGGAGGCGCACAGGGATCCATGGGGAACTGCCGGCAGGTCTGTGTCTAGGGTGGCAGGTGTGTGTCTAGGGTGCCCCTGCCGGCAGTTCCAGTGCCGAAGTCCCTGCGGCAGCTCACGGCGGCTGCAGCCTCGGTGTGTCCAGAGCAAACGTGTAAACTGAGCCCACTGACCACTGCAGGGATGGAAAGCAAGTCGCTTCAAATGCTTGCTGAGAAGATGAATTACAGGAGAAGGACTGTGTTTTTTCTGTGCACTGGGGAGAGATGGAATGAAAACAGAGGGAGGCACGGGAACAGCGAGAGGAAAGAGAAGGGCAGAGGGACCGTCGTGGCAGACTGGGGGCGCCAGGACGGAGGGGCTGTGCAGGTGGGAGAGGTGGGGTACACACAGGGCACCCGGGTGGGCTTCTCCTCTCAGCTGAGCTGCCCCTGAGGCCTCCCACGTGTCATACCAGGAACTGAGAGGCACAGGGTTCCCTCTGCTCCCAGCGGGATCCTGGTATGTGGAAGGGACGACTGGGCCTGGTTGGAAATGCACATCTGATGGATGTAAGGAACCTGTGTCTCCCCACACACCACAGACTAAGAGCGGCCGAGGAATGCTGGCGTCCAATGAAGTGAATGCTAACCAGTGAGACGCACCTACCTGGGTAGCTCCTCTGGGAACACGGCTCCACGGTTCAGCAGCGGTGGAGGCCTTCCTCCTGCCCCACACTCAACCCTCCTCACTCCCTGCCCCCTCCCCTTCCCCCACTCTCTGCCCACCCCTGCACCCACCTGCCATTTCCCAGCACCTTAACCACACGCAGTCCCCATCAGACCACAACTGCTCTCCTGCAGCAAGACACAGAACTCACTCATCCTGCAAACCCGGGAGCTGCAGCTCAGATGGTAACAAGTGAGTTTCGTTGTGCTTCCCTGGCCGCCACGAAACGCCGACTACACTCCAGCGCCAGGAAGCAGAGCGGGCCAGCCACGCCCCGGCCCAGGCCCCGCGCGCCCCGCCTGCCTCCCCCTAGACCGCCGACTGGTTTTCGTTGCACGTGTAGACGGTGCTCGGCTGGACTCGCCTTCGGATCCGCACAGGCACTTTGGGGAGGATCTGGAAGGTCTGCGGCAGCAGCTCGACGCAGGCCTCGCGGAACTTTCGGATCCTCCAGCAGTAGACGATGGGGTTGAAGGCGGACTTGATGTAGCTGAGCCACAGGACGCAGGCGCTGGTGGTGTAGAAGGACGGGCCGCAGTAGAACCGCCTGCTGAACACGGACAGGAGGCTGTAGACCGAGTGCGGCAGCCAGCACAGGGAGAAGCCCACGAAGAGAATGAGGATGGTGGTGAAGGCCTTGGTTTTGAAGCTCAAGTCCAAGCTGACCTGCTGCTGCCGCTGGAGCCGCCGCAGGCCGGCCCTGGTGAGCTGCCTCAGGTCCAGGCTGTCCGACTGGTTGTGCACGCGGAGGGTGTTCTTGCGCACCGTGTGCAGGATGCACAGGTAAGAGCCCAGCATGAGGCCGAAGGGCACAAAGAACGCGGCCACCACCAGGGTCACCACGTAGGCGCGGCCGGCCGGGACCTCCGTGTAGCCCAGCACGCACTGGGGCGCGCGCGCCGGCACCTCCACCAGCGCCCAGCCGGCCAGCGACGGCGCCGAGACGCAGAAGGACAGCGCCCAGGACGCGGCGATGATCACCTTGGCCCTCCGCGGGTTCAGCTTGTCCTGGCGCTGCACGATGAGGAGGAAGCGGTCCACGCTGATGATCAGCAGCACGGCCACCCCCTCCAGGACGAAGAACCAGTAGAGCGCGGCGGACAGCCGGCAGAAGTAGTCGCCGAAGCGCCAGCGGACGGTGACCAGGGTGACGGCGGCGAAGGGCATGCAGCACAGCGACAGCATGATGTCCGAGAAGGCCAGCGTGGCCAGCAGCAGGTTGATGGCCGAGCGCATGGCCGGCCGCTGGTACACGATGACGCAGACCACGGAATTGCCCAGGAACCCCACGGCGATCATCAGCGTCATGACGGCCGCCAGGCACACGCGCAGGGGCGCGGC